CCACCATCCATGTTTTCCCCTGATGTAATTTCATGTTTTTAATTCTTGCTTTGGAACTGATAACATGACTTGAACTGTATAGCTGTGTGGTGGAGGAAAGAGAAAATCTCTTTCTCATCCTACTTACCGTGCCTATATAGAATCAGATAGAAGCCTTACTGCAGGTTTTTTCTTACAGTGCATTTGTTAGGACCTTATATTTGTTAGGACCTTACAGCATAACTAACTCCAAGATTAAAAGAGTGCCATCTATTTGAATTTTATTTATTCATGTTTTTTAATTGGTTTTATCTTTTAAAAATAGGGACTGTTAAAATGCTTTAAGCTGCAGGCGGAGTTGGTATGTTTGAATTGCAAGTGTTCCTTTCCTGCCCCATGCTGCCCTCTTCTCTCAAACTGTTTGTGATGGTGGTGGGATACTTGGTTTGATGTACAAGCTCAGAGGCCCTTTCTTCAGAATGTTCACCGTATCATTAATAAGCAATGACATAATTAGTAATGCACAGATCACTGTGACAACATCCAATAAAACTGGAAATAGCTATTCCTCCCCTTATTAGTACTTTTAACAACTGTAAGGTATTTTTAAATATAATGCACATATTTTCAGCTACAGATGTGATTTTTCAAATTAATTCTACTCATTTGCTTCTGTGAACTTCATGTAAAAGGTAATCCTTATTTGCTTTGTTAATTTTGGTAATATAAAGTCTGTTGAGGGTTAGTAATAAGAAAGAGAGGAAAATAAGCACATAGGAAACACCTGCAGGTTTGTTGTTTTTTTTCCTTTTCTTTTTCAAAAAGAGAGTTAAGATATTTTCATTTACAGCTAGTGCTCTGTTGTTTGGAGCCAGAGTAATAAATTAGATACTTTGATGTGTGCAGAGGAGTATGGAATCTTTGTGCCTTATGAGAGTTGGTCATAAATTATGTCGGTTAGGAGGGTTGTTCAGGATCTCAGTATTGAAGCTGGAATGGAGCTGTGGAAATGCACTGAATCTACAGTTACATGAAGTGAAACCTTCTCAGATTTATTGAGTTTTTGTTCTTGATCATGGACCGTTTCAAGTAAACATGTTTACGTCCAATACCTCATGCACCTAGATAAACAGTACTGAGTTCAAGGTGAACTCCTACAACAATTACTAATAGTCCTCAGGATTTAATAGAAGTATATCACATGAGGATTTTGCAAGTTTCATGCTTGTTGCTACCTTGAAATGTAATAAAGTTTCGTTGGCGTAATGTATGTTTTTACATATGATAACATTTTACATAATTCCTAGATTTTAAAGTCTACTTACTCATGGCCTGCCTGTAAAGGTAGTGTTGTAATGAAAACAATTCGCCTCTCCCCCAGGTGCTTTTCAAATCAAAGGAAATGGAACAGTTTTAAATGCAGGTTTGCACACACAGCAGTGCTTTCCCAATGGGTGCAAGACTCCATTGCTCCCCACAGAGGGGATGAGCCTGTGACAGATTTTAGTCATGTTGTTGGTAGGTGAAGCTCCGAGTCTGGATGGTCAAGTGGCCGAGGTTGGAGGTTCTGTTCTTCTCTGCCAGTGTCTTGACTTGTGAAGGACAATGAACTGCCATCACATAAATAAAATTAATCTCAGGGATGGCAGAAAGAGTAACCTGAATAGTTTAATAGCCTCAAAATACTTCCTTCCTTAAGCTGCTTTTTGCTGCAGTTACAAACTGAGTTACTGTGTTTGCCATAGTTGTGTAATAGTATTTCTTGATAAAACTTTGTGAGGTTGCTAAATCCTAAATAAAGTAAGTGTTTAAGATTACAGTTTGTAGACTTAAGTGTATAGTTGATCTTGAAGCTTGGTACAGCAGCAAACAAAAAAAATGGGTTAGATTGTTCTTTTCTGTTGCTCAGTTGTTTTATTTGCATTCACTCTCTCTATCCCTTTTTGAGAATTGATCCTGTTTAGTTTTAGTTACAGGTAAGAGGTTATATCTAAGTGGAATCCAGTAAAAATCAAAATTGCCCGTTCTAGGGTGTTGTTAGAGAATGGAAAAAACTAGCATATATTTTGACATTATTCTGGCAAACTTCTTGGATGATTCAGGAATGAAGTAAAGTGCTTTCAAAACATGAGAGATGTACACCTAAGTGCCTTCAGGGTATGCAGAAGTTCAGGAACAGGTCTCTAGTGGTGACTTGGCATGACATCTTGCAAGTCTCTGTGAAAGGAGAAGTGTTTTTGAAATACTATCAGTGCTGTTTCTTGCAGGGGGAACAACTGATTTTCTTTGAGTATTAGGAGACTTAAAAAAAAAATATTTTAAATAAATGAGAAGAAACAGGAGGAATGTTAACCCCTCTCAGATTTGGGCAGCTATTTGCCAATATGAAATACCTTCCATGTGCTCCCCTATGTGTTCCTATATAGCAAATACTTAATTGTTCTTAAAATTTTGTGATGCTTTTGTTCCTTAGTAATGTCTTCATAGGAGTGCTCTTCTCAGGGTTTCCACTGGGATGTCAGTTCCTGTGACTGCAGTGCACCCTGTGTGGCAGTCTGTAGTGTGAGAAGTTTGCATTAATGTACAGCAGGTGCATAGCACAGTGGCAGGTTGGTGGTTGGGTTGCCCTTTGGGCAAGTAGTAGCTGTGGGGTTGCATTTCCCTCAGGCATAGGAAGTTGCAGAACTGGGTCGGCTGCGTCCTGGGTGAGTTCTCCCTGACTAGGCACCGGTGTGGCTGCTCAGCGGGAGGACTTCAGGCAGCTGAGAAAATTTTGGCAGTGATATGAAACTGTTTTCCTCTTTCTAAATATAGAACAGTCCTTTCTATCTCCATAATAAATATGATAAAATAATAGAGTGGAACAAAATTTGGCACGTAATATACCATGCCTCCACGTATGTATATGCGTGTGTTGTAAGTCTCTGATGTCAGATTTTACAATACGACAAAGTTAAAGTGAGGTTATTTAAAAGTACTTATTAATAATATATTTATATATATAAAATATATATTTTTTTATATATGTAACAATTTTTATTAATAGGAAAAACCCCACAGAATTCCATTCTAATTCATTGCATCGTGCTTGGGGAGAAAACCTACTCTGAAGCAAGTAGTGTTGGAAAGTACCTTTGCACAAGTTACTGGAAACCCTGGCATTTTACCTGTTTTCCACTCCTCCTGTGAAGACATGTCAAATTCCTTGGGATTTGTAAAAGGTCATAAACAAAGAACATTCTTAAGTATACAGTTGTAGCTAATTAAAAACTAGACATTTGTTAGTGTTGCTTGTGTTTGGAAAGAACATCTACGTGTGCCAGTCTCTTGGTGAAAAAAACATGGTTTAGCAGAAGCAAAGGAATGGTTGCAGACAAATCACTTCACTGGTTTAAGTTTACTGTACAGGAGGATTAAAATGTTTTTGTTTAAAAAAAAAAAACAAGGGAAGTTTTTTTTGAAGAGCTGAGCTGAATTTCTTCATGCGCCTTGCCAATGCAGAATTGAAGCTTTTCCATATGGAAAAGCCTCCAGTTGTGACTCCTCTGCCTTAGCATCCTGTTGTGAATGGTAGCCAGTCTTTGAAAAGGAAATGCAAAGATGGTCTTTGTAAAAATCATAATAGAACATGCAGCCATACTGAAAGATGAAAATTCCCACAAAAACCTATTGTTCGGGCTAGCATAGCTCTCTAGCTCCTTTAAACTAGATCTGTGTTTTTCAGGCATTCCATGGCATAACATTACTATTTCAATTAAGACTATTTAGTTACTTAGTATTCAGAACTCTGTTAATTTGGTTGCTGGTTCAAGATGGAAACTGTTTTCTGTATTTCTTTGATGTGAACTAAAGTAAACTACTACTTTGAATATTGATTTAAATTTGCTAAAGATATTTAAAACTTAGAATACCTTTAATTTCATTTAATTTTTAAATATGTAGGCACGACCCTGCAGGTTTGGTTTGGTTTGTTTTGGTTTGGTTTTTTTGAGAGGTCCAAATCATTTTGGCAGGGGATAATCTCAACTACATGTGATTTTGTTAGCCGAAAACACATAAGAAGCAATTCAGGAAAACAGTGAGAGGATTGCAGTAGGGAAGGCCATCTCTCTTGAGTCATCACAATCAGATGAGGAGTATCAGAACATAACTTCAGCCAGATACTGCATTTTTAGGACATTTGGCCTTTGGTTTAAATCCTGTAGTAACTTTCTCAGTTTTCTGGGTGGCTAAATTGTACCAGTGTTACCACAGCTGACACATGCAAGAATTACTGGCTTTGAAAGACAGCCTAACCTATTTAGCTGATTAAGGACTCTTATTCACTTCAAATCAGTATACATGCTACTGAAGTAGTATATAGCTGATTAATGTGTTAATGTAGCTGAATAGCTCATTCTGTATATATTCATAAATCTACAACCAGTTCCTAACCTTAATAACACTAAAAGATAAAAAATTCTTTTTGGCCTGTGCTTTATATGCAGTCTTGAATCTTAGCGCTTAGTTTTAAATAAAATAGTATTTATCTTTTAGATACTAATTATAAGTAATGGAAATGTCTGTTACTTCCTGCCTTTAAATATGTGCTAAAAACCAGTGGGAAATTTGGCTTAAAATTCAGTAGGCATGATGTGTTTTTATGAAAACATCTGATTATCAACATGGAGCTGAACTGTTTGAACTCATAATACATTTGAATATGATTAATAAGTAACATAAGTATTAAAAAAGATGGTACAGGACCATAGACTTGCCTTCTTCATGGCATTAATTGCATCTTCTCCTTATTATTATTTTTTTCCTTTATGTAAACACCGGAACTTGTGAAGGACAAAAAGCCTCCAGCATAGTTTTGGTATGACTTATGTTTTTAGGAAAATAATCTTTCACTACTGAGAAAAAAGATCATACATTGGATATGTGAGGAATATTTTGTTTAAGTTTTCCTTGCTTTGCCCTTTTTTCTGTTTTAGCCACCACAGTGGATTGCAGCTGGATGACAAAAACGAGGTATTTCTCTTTATTCTAGATGTGGGCACTCTCCTGTGTACCGCTGCCGTGAGATGTCGGGTCGGGCCCTTGTGCCATTTGTTATGGTAAATGAAGTACCACATACAGTGCTGTCCTTGCTGGAGGGGCTTCCAGACTCTACCAGTCGTTGCATACGACAGAACAATATTCATGGAACACTGTTGCAAGTAAGTTTTTGAGGGCTGATTTTTGATTTTTCTCACTGGGGTTTGTTTTTTGTTTTTTTTTTACTGTAGAGGTTCTGTTGAATTTTTTTTTGGTCATACTTGATAGCCAAATAACACATAGTGAATTGTGCTTAATGCTCACACATTGTCAAAACATACATGAAGACTGATTTTTAGCTGATTCTGTCAGATGATAAATGTGGAATGCACATTTCAACTCTCATTAGAAGGCAGGAAGCTGTAAATAGTAACATTCGCATTTCATGTAATGTTTCATCTTTGGAGATTAAAGTGCTTAGGAGCAAATATCTTTATCTGAATATATTTACAGAGGGATCTGTGTGACCTGCCCAAAATGACTGGGCAAAGCTGAACTCCAGGCACCAACAGCATTGGGTATATTTTGAGACTTGCTCCTTACCCACGTATTTATTTATTACTTCATTGGCTTTTCCTGCGGCACCAGCAACTTCCTGTCAGTTTGCTTCATAAGTTGTGTTAATCTTTACCTTGTCATCTTCTGGAAACATTCTGGAGAATAGTTCACTTACCAGAAATTTCTTCCTTCTCCTTATATCATTCCCTTGGTTTATGGCAGTCAGTTCACTGTGTTTGATTTTTGAGCTATCATGGTAATAAGTTACTCATTTTTATTGCCTGTTTTTCATGAGCAACCTTCCAACAAAGCCACATTGTACGCGATCAGCTCTGTTGGTCTGCCTTAGTTGGCAAGCTTTCTAGGTATGTGTTCCCACTGTAAGCTGTTTGATGGGGTGTGTGTGGTTGTTTTGATTTGGTTTTTAATTGTATCTTTTCCAGCATATGATTTCCCTTTAAAACCATGACCTTTCAGGAAATCTAGGATGGGGAAATGAATGAAGTCCCGCTAGAGCTGTTAATGTCAACTTTACCTGTAAATGGTTTCGGGCAATTGAATTTGGATTTGGATTGGTTACAGTGGAGGTTGTTGCAGGGTGTGGAATCATCTCCTGCTCTGAAAAGCAGTCCACGCACCTGATACGTGCAAGTGCTTAGACTTGTGAGCTGCTGCATCTGTGTGGGGAGGGGGAGAGTGCCATCATCAAGTTACCTGTGCAGCCTCACTGTCACAGCTCAGGAGTTAGGAAGAGAGGGTTATTCCAACAGTGAGAATTAAATGCTTTCTTAGTCCAAAATGATTATAACCCTAGTCATGAGGTATGGACTGGCTATAGTATATAAAGCTATTGCCTCCTTTTTAGTGACCTGGGGGAAAAAAAAAAAAAAAAACACCAAAATAATAATAACAACGATGGCCTGTATATCAAAGAGCCCAAAGGATGACCTAGTTTTTAATGTCCAGTATTGCTAAGATGATCTTATGCGTAGGTGTTGGGAGTTTTCCATACCTGTGAGACAGCGCTTGAACCTGATTTTTCATGAGTTTTGAGCAGCTACTAGAAACTACTTCCTGTCATTGGTACTGCACCAGGAGAGACTGGTGCTTTCAGAGTATCATATTCTCCCAGAAATGTCAGTTGTACAAGAACAGTTCACCCGTTTGGTTTCTCACATTTGTCTTGGGCTTTGATTTTACAGCTTCTGAATCAAGGAAGTTCAAAATCTTTATTTAATGCTTAATTTAATTTAGTGTATGACTAAAATGCTGAACTATCTGTTGCTAGTCTAAAATAACAAAACATTCAGAAAAAATATTGTAGGGTGATAAAGATGTGCAAAAAATGGAGGCAAGGCGGTGATCTTTGTTATACCTCTGAAACACTAACGCCAGGTAGTGTAACATGTAGTTAGCATGCACCTCCTGTAAGTAGTACTGGAAGTACTGTGACTTTCAGGGGTTGCTGCATGCATGGTTTCAGTTTCCTCTTTATCAGTGTAAGTTGGGATTTGTAAAACTGCTGCTAAGGCTCACTAAAGCGTAGAAAATTATGTTACAGGACTGTTTGTTAAAACACTATTTCTCAGAAGACTTACTTGTAGAGAAAGTGACCTGGCAATGTTCAAAATTTATCATCCTCCTGGATATAAAACCAAAACAAAAATCTCTACTAAAAAGAGCAAGTCTATACAAAACTCAATAAAATTCAGATTTTTCCAGCAATACAAGGCTAATACCTTAGGAAAATGGAATTCAGTAATTTCATTTGTTCAGTCACATTACAAGCTGCTAAGTTCATTGCTCAAGTTTTTTATTTCAGTGTTCATATGCTGTCAGTTCTTTAACAAGGACGTTGGAATTATTCAGAATTGAAGCTTATGTGGCAGTGCGAAATGCAATGAATCTTGAGGGTATATTTCAGTTGTGTTTTAGAGTTATGCAATCATTTCATCTTTTGCAAGACAAATGTTAATTTACAGAAAGATCATTCAAAAAGAGTCCAGCATGGAGTGCCTGTCCAAACATTTTTTACACTGGATGCAAACGGGTTGGGTTTAACTTCAGACCTTTGCATTATGTGAAAACATGGCTTTTTGTCTCCAATGTGATTACTATGGCTCAGTTTAAATAGGAATATGAATATGCATGAGGATAAAATAATCTTATGCTTTACAGGTTTTATAGAATAGTTCTTTTCAAGAATTGTCTAGGAGGAATGCTGTTACTCTTGGGGAACTGATGATATTCTTCAAGAAGCAGTTCTGCATCCTAAGTAAATGGACTGACTTGAATAAGATAAAGAAAAATCTTTTCTATGTTTAGTGTTTCCTTTCTGAGTGCAGTGTCTGCTTTGTTCCATAATCCAAAATGTCAGGGAGAATGGGCTGGGGGAAGGGAATAAAGTTTTTAATCCACAAGAAAATGCAGAAGTCTTGTACTAACCTTCTTGAATGATGAAATGTTTCTGGTTTGTTTTGTTTTAAGATCTAGGGGTTTTAGCTGATCAGCTGAAAGAAAGAGCTCGTCCAGCGCTTTATGCAGAGACTTCCATAAGTGTATCAGAATTTTTGCCTAGGGAAGCTTTTATGTTTGCCTATCTTCTGCCTCTTTAGGATTGGAATTCTTCCACTATGTGTTCTGTCTGTCCAGGATAATTGAGAAGTTCATAACAAACCAGTAGTTAATTCAGAAATGTTTTATTCAATAATCTGTGTTTAGGATTAGTAATTGCCACATACGTGTTTGACGCACAGTGTTATAAATCATGCAGGTAAGGACATGGTCTGTTTTCTCTTGTCATGTCTGTGTTTTTTGTAGAAATGTCTAATCTCAGGGGCAACAGTCTTAACTGGGTACAACTCAAGATTCACCTAAATACAGGATTCGGAGAGAGATATCACATGAAAATGAGCCCTAAGTAGGAAAAGGAATTATAGAAAGCTAGTAGCTCTAGAAAGAAACAATAACTCCAGAAGTGGAAAGCAACCTAATATGGAATGGATGAAAAGTGTAATAACACATCGGTGTGGACAAATTAATTCTTTACTGAATGCAAGGTAAGAAGAAACATACTGAAGCAATAGCATGCAGAGGGGACATGGAAAGGCCAGGGCAAAAGTTGGCTGTAGTCTTCAAGAGATTTCTACAGAAATACTTAGTATTGGAAAGTGGAAGGTATTGACAGGTGATTACTGAAAGGTATAATTTTCTCCATTAATTTGCTGACACAGTCAAGTAATGGAAACTTCTTTCTAACGTTAAGGATGCATTAATCTTCAGCACTTAGAGGATCTGCCATCATGTTTATAAGATTTTGCCTGGACCTGGAAGTTGGAGAGTCCTGCCAGTCTTCCCTCTATTTTTTTGATGCTCCAAACGATCAGAGCATCTTCACGAAGCTATACAGAATCTTTATTTCCATCAGTGTGGATCTGGTTAATTCTTGTTTGCGTAGATTTGTGGGCATAACATTCATAGCTTTTATTGTTGTAGATGGTCTTGTCCAAGCAATGAAATATTGATGTAAGTTTAGTTTTTTTAAGATTGTTATTGCAAATCAGCAATTAAATATTATAAACATGAATTTACTTGGATTGGAAATAACTGATGGAAACTTTGAGTAGTTTCTAGATACAATTTAGATAACATGTTCTGTGCATTTACACTTTACACGGAACAGAGTCCAAGAAGGTAAGCTTCTGAGCGTACTAGGGGAAGAAAGCTTGAGCCTGTGTTATTCCTAACCATGGTTTTTACTAGTATAGACTGAGACGAAAATCAGTACCTCAAACAGATTAATCTCCAGGTGGGCTTTGGTTTCCCTGACTGCATCTCTCCATGCTTGGATTGTGTCCCGGTTTCCCTCACAGGTTATGTGTCGCTGCTTCCACCTTCTGTATCTTCCTTTTACGTTTCAGTTTGTCCACGAGCTCCTTGTTCATCCATTCAGGCCCTCTGGTATATTTGTCTGACTTCTGGCTTGTTGGTATGGACTGCACTTGAGCTTAGAGGAAGTAGTCCTTGAGTATCAACCAGCTTTCTTGGACCCCAGTCCCTCTAGGGCCTTATCCCACATGACTCTTAACAAGCAGATCGAGAATGTGGCCAAAATCTGCTCTCATGAAGTCTAGGGTTGTGATTTTGGATGTTCTTCTCAGCATCCTGAACTCCATCATCTCTGGTCACTGCAGCCTTTTACCTTCAGATCCTCTTGTCTGTGAGTATGAGGTCCAGCAGAGCACCTCTCCTTGTTGTTTCCTCTCTTGCTTTTGTCAGGATGTTGTCATCAGTGCTCTCTAGGAAGCCCTGGGGTTGCTTATGCTGTGCTGTGTTGGTTGTGCATCAGATGCCAGAGTGGCTGAAACTCCCTATGAGGACCAGGCTCTGAAAATGCAAGGCTGTTTCTGTCTGTCTGTAGGAGTCCTCATCTATTTGTTCTGCTCAGCTTGGCATCTTATAGCAGACACCCACTGCAGTGTCACCTATACTGGTCTGCTCTTTAGTCCTTACCCATAAGCTCCCAGCTGGCTCATCATCCATCCCCAGGAAAAGCTCTGTGCATTCCAGCTTTCTGTCACAGAGAGGTCATTTCCCACCTTCTCATCTTCCCCACCTGTCCTTC